AATATATAGGTCATATAACAGAGTTGCATGTTATCGGTCGCATCACATAATAAGGTTGCATCTGAGTGGTTAATTCTTGGTACCAGAAATCCTTATATACAAGTCCAGGCACTCGATTTTTGTTTTTAATCCTCACCCGAGGATATTTTTTCCATTGCTTTTCAGAGAGTGGAAGGACAAGAGAGAGGGAAAGAGAGGGAGAGAAAGAAACACCAATTTGAGAGAGATACACTGATTGGGTGCTTCCTGCACGTGCCCTGACCTAGGGTGGGGATGGAGCCTACAACCGAGGTACATGCCATTGCCTGGAATCGAACCCAAGGACCCTCCAGTCCATGGGCTGACACTCTAACCACTGAGCCAAACCGGCTAGGGTACACCAGATTTTTTAAAAAGCAACTTTGAAGCAAAAGGGTAGGTAATTACTATTATTATTGTTTTGTAAAGCACTAAAATTTTATGCCTTTTTTTGTCAGATGGGCAAAAAATATATTTTTTGGTGCACCACAGAATTTTAGTAATTAGTTTATGTGTGCCACGAGATGAAAACAGGTTGAAAATTGCTGCTCTAGGTCCATTCATGCTGTCACAAACGGTAAGATCTCCTTCTTTTTTATGACCAAGTAATATTCCATTGTATATATGTACCAGAAAACTTTTTAAGCTGATAATAGCAACACTGAGAAAGAACTATAACCCAGGAGTCTAGAAATCGGCAATGTGTTTCAATGTTTTTTGTGTTAAAGTTACAACTTAAAATTACAGGTATATTACCCACCTCTTAAAAAGATATAAAATTACACCTGCTCATACACCAAATTCATACACACAAGAAAGACAAAATACCTTACCAAAGAATATACCTCTAAATACCTGTAAATAACATCTTCATCTATGATAGAATATGGCTTCTTCGTAAAATCATGTACACCTAGGAACATTTTCTTTTTTAACTAACACATGGCATTGAAAATATTACTGCCAATAGTATCACACTGAGTTGTACTCCTTTCTCCCAAAGATGCCAAAACACTGCCACATGTTATCTTTTCTCATCTACTCTTTCAATGGGATTGGTAGTTCAAGACCTCATCTGCACCATGTTTCTTCTTTTTAGTAATGGCAAACGGAGTGATTAATACACTTGTGAGCAGTCACAAAACAAGTTGATAGCAAAACTGGAGTGTACTCTTGATCTCAAGTTTTTTCCAGTTAGGCAATGTAGATATCTTTAATTTTATGCCAAGTGGTCACATGCAATATGAAAAAGAAGAAATATAGTCATTAATAGATTTTTCTATTGAAGTTGCCATACACTGCAGTATTTAAGCTAGATTTCAGAACCACAGAACTAATATTTTGGATTCTAAAAAGTTCCATAGTGCCTGGCCGGGTGTGGCTCAGCGGTTAAGCGTCAACCTGGGATTCAGGCGACCGGGGTTCGATTCCTAGTCAGGGCATGTGCTCGGTCAATGACTCTCTCATCATTGATGTTTCTATCTCTCTCTCTGCTTCTCCTTTCCTCTCTCTGAAATCAATAAAGTTATACTTTTTAAAAAAGTTTATAGTAAAAGGAAATAGGCTATTATATTTTATTAAACAGGACATTATATTTATTAGTTCAAAATGCACCTCCCCCACCCCTCCAAATTGCTGTGTTTTGCCTGACCTTCAAAGGTCTTTGGGACTCAAGGAAACCTTAACTATTTAAAAAAGACATCATCGCTTCATAGCATAGCAGACTCTAGAAGAGTATTTTATAGAACTTATCTTAAATGTGAACATTTTACACACTCCGTTCTCAAGTAAAATTTGTGCATCTCAATCACATTATGTTTTCCTTTATAAAAGTATTCATGGAATTTCATTAGCCTAGGTCTTTCTTTCATTGCATTTCCCCCCCTTTTTGGATATTACACAATGGCCTCACTGCATTAATAAGATATTGTTCCAGAAATGGGACCCTAGGAAGATCATAGTAATAAATCAAGTACTATTTGTTTAGACAACTGATATTTATTTCAAGCAAATGCTTTTTGGGATCTGAAAACTGTCTTCCATTTTTTATTTTTCTAACAATTTGGTGATACAAACATAGAAAATAAATATAAGCTATTTATAAATCCCAGAAAAAATTGTTGGCTGGGATACAGGCTGTCCAATTTCTAACTCACACAGGGAGTGCTCAATAAATGTCACTGACTGATAATATAGTTCTATAGGGTTTCTTCTCTTAACCCAAGCAGTTGCTTAATTTTCACCAAAAGTATGATTTTCTTTTCTCTATCCCAGCATGTTTAGATTAACATACCATTACTATTTTAAATGTAATATGTATTCATTAAAAAAACAGTCAGTTTTTCTTGAGTATCTGCAGATCACATTCCAGGATCTTGTGACACTGAAACAATTTACCATCTGGTACTGATATGGTTAGATAATAACCTAGTAGAATTTGGGGGTATGGTGCTTTCAAATGATGAAAAGATCTTGCTGCAATACTTTTTTGTTTGTTTTCCATCAGTGGAAAGTCCTTATTTTCTAAGTCTTTCCCCCACCCCCACCCCATCTATTGTTCTTCCTAAAGGTACTTCCAATACATCGCTTCAAATTAAGTCTTTGAGGGAAGTACCAGGTATAGGACAGTAAAGTTGGGGGCTCTTGAGTAGTAATCAAAGATTCCCACAGTTTCCACCTATGGTTTCTGGGTGTAGGCATGGAGCTAGGATTGCATAAAACCTCTGGTCTTGAGGTTTGGGAATTCAGGGATCTCCCCATTTCCAGTGAGTTATTTGATTACTTAGTATCAACTCTCCATACACAGAGAATACATACCTGCCCATAAATACTGCTTTCTATCATTTTAATTATTTATGTGAAGGCCTTTAATCCATTGTGGACCAACCATGAATGACACAGCTTTTTGTAGTTTGATAGTTATACAATTTTTTGTACCCTGTAAAATGATTTCAAACCTATTTGCAACAACCAAAATTCTTATCATTCTTCATAGGAGTTTTATGCAATAAATTCTCTACATTTTTAAAAGAGTAAATGTATAAAAGAAACTAGAACCTTTAAAATGCTTGGAAAACTTACCTTTAAGAGAACTATTTTATTAGTTTAAACACACACAAACCTTTAAACATATAAATAAAACATTTAACTTTTTAAATCTTATTTTTTGCTAAGATGTCTTTTGACATTTCTAACCCCACCCTTACCAGAAATGTAGCTCACTGATTATCGCTTCTAAATCTTTATCATCAGTTTAATTTCATAATAAATCCTTTACATATTCATCAAGGAGAAACGGTCTTACATATTAAGATTTTTCCTTAAACTGTGTGGTTTAAGAGTACCATAACAAGTAATCAAGAAGTCCACATAATAAGAAAGTAATGGGACAAACAGGCATACGATACTTACTTTTCCAAAAGCTGAATGCACTTATCGCCACTTTTAACAATCTGGTAAATCAATCCAAAATTATATTAAGCTTTTATAAATTCATATTGGATTTAGCCAGTTAATCTAACTTATTGATGAAAAAGTGTTTCTAACAATTACTGAAATTACAGATTTAGAAGTGAAACATTCCATTAGCTATCTGCCACTACAGCGGCATAATGTTACACTTTGTTCCTTTTTTCTCCCGCCCCCTTAAGAAACACGAATATTTATGTGGTCTTATTTCAAATCCTGACTTCAGTCACTTGGGTTTGGAAGACATGGTTTCTTAATAAGATTAAAATACATATCTCTGTATATTATTTACAATTAAGGACATAAAAAATTCTCTGTAAGTATTAATTATGAAAACATCCTTTGGAATAAAAAGTATTTCTATTCTTCAAAGATTAAAGAACTGAGTATAATGACTAACTGATTTATGTAAGTGATCATATGACTGTTAAAACTGTAACAGAAATGACATTTTGATTTCCAGCAAGACTTCTTAAACTTTACCTAAAAGATGCATTAGAATGTCAAAGTTCAAGAGCCTCCTTCCTCATTTTTTAAAAACTGTTTACAAGAATGGCCTTACCATTTTCATTTGCCAGAAAGTAGCTAAAAGATAGTAAGTTTGCCAGTACTTTCATAGCTGCTCTCTGTACTTGAAAGGGTGCTTGAATTGTGCTGGTTTTCATGGCCCAATCCAAACCATATAACACTCTGGCTCCAACTAAGAGTTTTAAAATAAACAAAAGAAAGAACTGTAACTATTTAACGCAGTAGGTTCTACATTTATGGAACCCATAAGCTGATTTCCCGGGGAAAGTGAAAACAGTCTCAGGACTTTAAATGAACTCTTGGATGCTGGAATCGCAGAAAATACAGGAAAATTAGGAATATGTTGGTAACCTCTGATCTTTTTTTAAACTGACCTCACCCTGGGCAAGTAACCATCTCCTGATGCCATTGTTGGAGACAATTTCTGGCTGAAAGATCATTTTTTCTGACTCAATCTGGCTTGCTATTCTTGGTTAATCATCCCCATTGCTCTCAACATCTCACTCCTCTGACTATGGCGGTCAACATTTACTTTCAGGAAAGGCTTTTTAGGTGATTTGGTTCCTCCGGCCGTCTCCCTCTTTATCCTGGCTAAATCCCCCCGGCCCCATTCCTATGCCCTTGTTTCGCTAAGATTTTGCTAAACATTAGACACAGCACATGACCTCCAGTCTTTTCACTGTCTGAACAGATAAAAACATTCGATCGGTGCGGTCGCAAGCTTTCCTATGCTTGGAATTTAAGAATCATTAGCTCTTCTCTTGGACTCCTAAAGACCTACAGCGCAAAATTTAAATTTAAAAAAATTTAAATAAAAAAACCGCTCCCTTTTTTTATAACCTTTAGCCACGCCCACCCCCCCCTCAGGCCTCCACGCGAAACTGCAGGAAACCGGAGGGGGCGGGGCGGTGACGTCACGACGCCAGTGCGTCACGGAACGGCGGCGGCTGCGGCGCTGGCGGTGGCTGCGGCAGCGGCGGCATTTTAGTCGACAGCGGCGGCGGCAGCGGGGCTGCTGCTCCTCCCAGCATCCCTGGCGCGGCCATTTCAGCCCCATCTTGGCCGAGGGGAGGGAGCTGCAGCCGCCGCTTCAGCAGTTTGAATTTCAGTTTCTCCAGGGTCTGAGAACCGGGCGCGCCGAGGAGCAGCCGAAGAAGCTACCGCCGCTACCTCACACAACCGGAGCGCCTCCGCTCGCCGGCCACCCGGCCGCCGCCCCTCTCTTCTCTCAAGAGCTGTGAGGGGAGGCCGGGGCTGCTGCCGCCGCCCGCGGGGGTGGCTCCCCCTGTAAGGGGAGGACCGAGCCGGCTTTCCCCTCCCTCCCCTGGAGCGGGTTTCCGCCAGAGACCGTCGACATGTCCCTGGGGCTGAGCTCCGGCTAGTGCCGGGGAGGGAGGGCCGCCCGCCCGCGCCGAAGCTCTGCCGCCCGCCCGCGGACCTTCAGCCAGCCCCAGCCCGCGGCTCTGGGCTGAATCAGAAATCCCCGGCTCCGGACCCGCCGCTCCTTTCCCTTCTCGCCTCGTCCGAGAGCCCGGAGCTGACGCCGGCACCAGCCTGAGGAGCCGGAGCGGGGCAGCACCGCCCCTCACGCCGCCGCCGCCTCCTCCCCTTCGCCCTCCCACTCCCACCCCCAGCCAAGGCCTGCTGACCGCGCGGCGCTGGACTGACCACGGCGGCCCGGAGACGGGAGGAGGAAGCAGCCGGCCCGCCCCTAGGATCGCGCTCTCGCCGCCACTGAGGGGATTGAATTGAGGCGCCGCGGCTGCGGGAGGCGAAAAAGGAGGAGGAGCAGCGGCCGCGCGAGTGAGACGGGGGCAGAGCTGAAGAGACCGACACAGAAGGAAACGGAGAGGAGGATGTCTCACAGAGCGGGCGCCCCGAGGAGCCCGTGACTCTGCCGGCGGCGGCCTCAGACCCCAGCGCGGACTCGGACTTTGTCTTTGGGGGCCCGTGCTCTGCCCTTCCTGGTTTCCAGCAAGTTCGCGGAGGAGCCGGAGTGCCTCTCTGCCCTCCAGCCTTCTTCACCATGTCCAAGATGCCGGCCAAGAAGAAGAGCTGCTTCCAGATCACCAGTGTCACTACGGCCCAGGTGGCCACTAGCATCACCGAGGATACCGAGAGCCTGGACGACCCGGACGAGTCACGCACGGAGGACGTCTCCTCAGAGATATTCGATGTGTCTCGGGCCACGGATTATGGGCCCGAGGAGGTCTGCGAGCGTAGCTCCTCTGAAGAGACTCTCAACAACGTTGGGGATGCGGAGACTCCTGGGACGGTCTCCCCAAACCTTCTCCTGGACGGGCAGCTGGCCGCGGCGGCGGCTGCTCCCGCCAACGGAGGAGGAGCCGTTTCGGCCCGGAGCGTGGCTGGGGCGCTGGCCAATACTCTGGCGGCGGCTGCCACCTCAGCCCCCTCCTCGGGGGCACCCGGCGCCCCACCGGCCGCGGGCTCATCTGCGGGGTCAGGGACTGCAGCTCCATCGCAGCCCCCCACTACTTGTAGTTCCCGTTTTCGCGTGATTAAGCTGGACCACGGGAGCGGGGAGCCCTATAGACGCGGTCGATGGACGTGTATGGAATACTATGAGCGGGATTCCGACAGCAGCGTCTTGACCAGGTCGGGGGATTGCATTAGGCACAGCAATACTTTTGACCAGACTGCGGAGCGGGACAGCGGCCTGGGCGCCACCGGAGGGTCTGTGGTGGTGGTGGTGGCCTCCATGCAGGGGGCGCACGGGCCCGACTCTGGAACTGACAGTTCCCTGACTGCTGTGTCACAGCTACCCCCGTCGGAGAAAATGAGCCTGTCCGCTCCGGCCCCGCCGCAGAGTTTTGGCGTTGGGCAGCTCCAGCCGCCGCCGCCCGTAGGTGGGGCTGTGGCTCCAAGCTCAGCTCCGATGCAGTCGTTCCCGGGAGCCGTGGCCGGACCGCAGCAAGTGATGACAGCCCCGCAGCCCAGCCAGCCCCAGGGAACCGGGCCCGGCGTCGTTCCGGGGCCCAGTGGACAGGGTCTCCCGCCAACGAATGTAGCCCTGGTGCAGCCCGGCATGTCTCTGCCTCCGCAGCCTGGCCCGGCTACCGGCTCTTCTGCAACGCAGCAGCCCCAGCAGTTCGCGTATCCCCAGCCTCAGATTACGCCGGGGCATATCCTGCCCGTCCAGCCCTCCGGCCCGAGTGAGTACCTGCAGCAGCACGTGGCTGGCCTGCAGCCCTCGAGCCCCGCGCAGCCCTCGGCCTCCGGCGCCGGAGCGAGCCTCGCTGCTGCTGCCAGCCTTCCGGTGGGCACCGGCCAGAATGCCCCCTCAGGGGCTGCGCAGATCATGGGCGCCTCTTCCCTGCCTAGTGAAGCCGTGGCTCCGGGGCCGGGACCCGCGCCAGGCGGACAGGCCGCGCCTTGTCAGCCGGCTGGAGTTCCTCCCGCTGCTGTGGGAGGCGCGGTGCAACCGGGCCTGGTTCCTACCGGGGCCGGGCAGCCCCAGCCCGCTCCTCCGCCGCAGATGGGAGGCAGCGGTGCACCGTCAGCTGGGTCTGGTGGCCCTCACGCCATGGTGCCCGGAGTTCCTAACGTGCCTGCCACCGTGTCCGCTCCAAACGTGCCCAGTGTGTCTACCACATCTGTTACTATGCCAAATGTACCCACGGCCCTGGTCCAGTCTCAGCAACTGAGCAGCCATACGCCAGTCAGCAGGAGCGGCAGCATAATCCAGCAAGTCGGGCTGCCCTTAGCGCAAGGCACACCCAGTGCACCAACAAGTCTACCACAGTCTGACTTAAGCCAGTTTCAGACACAGACTGGGCAAGCTGACGATACTAGAAGAAAATCAGAACCCCTACCTCAACCACCACTTTCTCTCATTGCTGAAAATAAGCCTGTTGTGAAGCCTCCTGTTGCAGATGCCCTGGCAAACCCCCTTCAGTTAACACCTATGAACAGTCTTGCCACCTCTGTATTCAGCATAGCTATTCCTGTTGATGGTGATGAAGACAGGTATGAAAATCTTATTTAAAATATTTCATAGGAATGTTTGGCCAAACATCGTAGTTTAGGATACAGCTTTGGGAGAGTTCCTTTTTCAACTTGAGGCCCTTAGCAGTTTTAAATATAACAGTTGGTTTGTGTTTAGTAAAGTTGATTTATCAGTTCTTGAAAAAAAAAACTTTAGTTTTAGATTGCTGATGTAAAGGTGGCTAATGAGAGAATTAGTCTTGTCACAGTTGCTTAAAAATACTAAAGTGGATAAGGAGGCAATATTATTTATTCAGAAAGGATTTTATCTTAATCTCAGTTTAGAGGTGGTAGCTAGTAGGTTATGCCCCTTAGGATTGTCCCTTTTTTAGATGACAATCACACTTGAACACTTAGGGCAGACTTGAGTCAGTGTGAGTTTTGAGACTGAAACAATTAGAAGTTTCCCATTCTGGAAAACCAGAAGGCCCTCTAGTACAGAAAGATCTGTGTAAGGTATCTATCTCCTCCAGTGTATCTGGGAAGGCTGGAGAGATAATGTTGAAATGTCAAATCCGCTTTGAAGATCATATCTTTGTTCAGCCTTTTAATGAAAGAGAATAGAAAGTCTAGAGGTTGCCCAGTGACTTCTTTAGATACTTTTTTTTAAGTAAAAGTGTCTGAAGGTGCTTTTGCCTTCCATCAGTCTTTTTGCTATAGGAAAGGGAGGTATGAGCTGCAGTAAAAGCTGTAGTTCTTGAAATTAGAGGAATTTTATAGTAAAAGGGTAAATGTAAGCAATTGGCTCCCTCTATTTAAGGGAAACTTTTTAATGGTTTAAGTGACAATTGGTGTATTTGCCATATCAATTCTATAACAGTTGATGTTTGGTTATGGTTTAATGAGGATTTTAAATGGTTTTGAGGAAATGTCACCTGAAAACTTGGCGTAATACATTTAACGCAAGTTTTAAAAACTGATTTGTTACAAAGCTTTAAAATTATATTTTAAAATTACAGAGAAAGTTTCACATACTTCACAGGTAGACATTTATTTGCTTGGGGCTTTGTTTTCAGAGAGGTTAATTTCAGATGTGTTAAAAGATCACAGCTGTTTTGATGGATTTCTAGAATAATTGGTATGTAGAATACAATGAGATCTGTTAAAGCTTTTTCTTATGTTTCCTCTGGGTTCCTTCACATTCTTTCTTAATTTTTCATTTCTGTTTAGACTTGTATTTTATTTCTGTTGGTTTGAAAAATGCTCACTGAAATTCATCTTCTCTGCTTTTTGTAATTCAAAGTTCATCTTTTTTTGTAGGTGACTTGCTTGTGGGGAGTCTTTCTTCCATTTGAGAACTCTTAGAGAATACCACGTGTCCATAAGTGAGCTCAGCTAGCTAGTCATTGAGAAATTTTATGTGGATGGGACTACCAAGTAAAGAAACTTATTCCACAAACCACTGAGAAAATCCCTCTTTTGTTCCCATATTTCACTTTTCACACATAGAGGCACACCTAAAATGCAGATCGAATTTAATTGTTCACCTTTGGTAATAGTCAACAGGTGATCTTCCCTTTTCTAGCTGCCAGAAGCCATTTTTTCTGGTGGGTTTGCCTACCTCCCTGTTCCTGTTGTACACTGCCCCCATATTTCTTCAAGAAATGATGACTCATTTTCCAACCCTTTCCCCACTCCTAAAACACATGCACACCTGTGAATGAAGAATGTATCTTCTCTCCTCTTCACACCTTTCTCAGTTCACAGCATATGTAATTATATTCCTCATAACTTTAATATGATGATATAACATGAAGCAGAGAGATCTGTTGACAAATGGAAACTCTGGGATGTATTCTTTAGGGTATACCGCAAAGATGCATTTATTTCTCCTCTCTCTATTAAACGAGTTAATGGTCTCATCTCATTTCTGAACGTGAATGTTTGAACTACAGATACTACTGTATCTGTATCAGTTATCAATTGCAACAGTTAATCCAGTGTAGGAATTTTGATGTGTGTGCAGTCCTATTTTAAATGTGGCACTTATCCTCCCCCACCCAGCCTTTTAAAATCTGTGTTGCTTATCAAATGTGCATTTCTAATTTTTGTTATATAGTCTTTCATTGGTTTTCGATTTAACATGCTAGTTTCCAAGATGTAATCTTACACGTTTGACTATTTTGTCACTGCAACCAACATACCTGGTGAAGGAATAAATCCATTAAGTAGAAATAGTTGTGTGTTTTTTAATGGAAAGCTTTTGTAAAAGGACATTTTAAAGTTGTGGACTTGAAATTAAGTAACGCAGTTTTTCCAGGCGTATGCTTAAGTTACTGAGTATTTTTAAGGATACAGTACTAACAAAATTGTAATTTTAGTATGGCGATTTTGGGTTGCCTTATTCAATTAAAATCTGCATACAGTGTAAAAAAATTTTTATTGCATTTATTGGGGTGACATTGGTTAGTAAAATTATGTAGGTCATATACAGCTTTATTTAGTCATTCAAATGTAAAATAAAATGGAGTGAGAAATTTTGAGTATTGTGACTTAAACTTTATGAATAGGTTGAAACAAATTTCAGATCCTAAGAAAATATTTGTAAATAAGGTGTTTGCTTTTTTAAAAAAAATGTTGAGAAAAGGAAGGAAAGTGGAAGATTAACAAAAATGATTGAGGTGATTTAGGTTGATATATTGAAAACTATCTAGTGATTTTGGTTCCACTACCCAATACAAGGCTCTCTATATTGGCTCATTTTGAGACCTTTTCTGAAAGACTTTATATTAATACATCATAATATTATCATACCTTTAATAAAAGGGCTGATGATTATATATACAAAGTAAGAAAATGTCTTAAAGTTGTTGGTTAATGTTGCCCATTGGCCATATATTATTAATCACCATAAAGTTAAATCTATTATTTTAGCTTTTCTCATTAGGCATATGGTCAGTTTTTGAGATTCATCAAATTGATTTTGTAAACTGCAGGATATAATGGTGGTTGAAAATATAGTTCATAGAAAAATGTGTAGCCAGTTTTACAGTGAACGTTACAAAATTTGTTTAAACTACCTGTACACTTAAGAGACTCCTTTTTGGTAAAGGTGGGAGGTGTAAAATGTTACTGGCCCTTTTTGAAAACGAATGCAGTACAGATAATTTTCCATAGATAGCTGACCAGTGTGAACTTTGTAGGTCACATTCCAGGCAGTCTTATGAATGACTGCAATTGTGAACTGTCAGCTACAACCAAAAGACTGTTGAAAACATGATTGTAAGGATCCCTTAGTGGCAGATATCTCTATATCTTGTTCATGATTTTATTTGTGTAGTTTGCTAATTACTACTGATAAAGTATTATAAATTGTGAGTTCTTAGTGCTGTGTCCTGGTATGTGCTATAAATACAAATTTTGTTTATACAGTTTTATACATATATATGTACATAAATGTATATCAGGAGGCAGAACTGTCACTATAGATACTTAGAACTCTGAAAGTCTCACTGTATTTAGTCTTTAAAAGTGAAAGCTCCTTACTTAAATCTCTATTTCTTTGGAGCTTATTTTTCTTTTATCCGTATTGAATTATGGAGGTAATTTTGCCCTTCCAGTTTTATAGTTGATGTTTAAATCATACACTAGATACCATCTATGCCTATCTAAGTATCTAACTACTCTTACCAAGGATTTTGTAATCTAAGTGTAAAATCCTGTGTATGAGTGACATAATATTTACTATAAAATCTGATGTTGATGCATTCATCAGAATGCCATGTAGATGACTAAAATATACTCTAGTCATCAATATGGCTCTAAGTTGAGGAAATTATAGATTTCCAGAAAGGCTGATGATCCAAAAGTGCTTCCAATTCCCAAAACCAAGAGTTGTATGAGTAGGAATATGGCCTTTTTAATTCACAGTGACACATATATTGTTTAAAGTTTTGTGTGGACTAAATCATATAGGCTGAACATTGATTAACTTTTTAGAAAACATATTGGCTTGTATGTGTGAGAATAAGACATACTCCAAGTAACTATTTTAGTTACGCCTGTTTTTCCCTTGCAGGGGAAGGAGAGTATCTTGAACTTAATTACTTTTATGAGAAGTCATTTTTTATAGTACTGGTAGTGGGTATATATGTTTTCTAATTCCTGCAAATAAATGTAATACCAATCTGTTTGATAGCACTAATTTGTAAATAGCAAAACATGATTCTGGATTTATGGATCTGGTACTTGCTAATTTGGAGTTGTGTTTAGTCTTTCTCTGTACCAAAGGAGATTGGAAGCAGTCATGCTCTCTAGTGTCCTCCAGTAGCAAAGAGCAGCCCTACCAATCAGATGGTAAAAGAATCTCTTTCCTGAAGAATGGTTGATAGGGGAGTATAAAAGAATCTTGATTTTTCTTTCCTAAAATGGAAAAATTAGAAGGTGGGGAGCAGAGTGATGGCAGATAACCAAAGCAAACAAAGTATAGTGAAATGGCATGAAATGTGATCTCAGAAGGAATAGGAACACTTGTTACTAGTGAGGAACCATGGTCTAATTCCTTCTTCTAATAATTATTTAACCAGTATGTATTTCCTTTTCTGAACAGATACTGTTTATTTGTTAATTGCATTACTCTTTAAATACTTGAGTGTGAGAAAGAGAGTCTTTAAATAAACAGGTCTGGTTAAATGTAGCCTGAATGAAGATGTACCCTAAGTAATTTCTTATGAATGGGAAGAGCAGATTTTTAGTAAGAAATCTATATAATTGACCCGCATTAAAGGAGTATATGGAACACAATTCTTGAGTTGGAATAAATCATTCAAGGTTGTTTGTTTTTAAATACTAAACCAGTGGACTTGTGATTAGATGGTATAATACCAATTACTACATCCACAAAGATTATGTATACCTGAATGGTTATAATTTAGGTCTTTCCACAGCAATTCTTGAACATAACAAGTTACTCAGTGTTTGCTATATTCTTAATTTCAATTCTTTTTTTTTTTTTAACTATATCTTTATTGATTTCAGAGAGA